GGAGGGGGATGGGGGGTCACAGCTCAGGAGAAACACAGCAGAGTCTTTCCCCTCCTCCTCCCAGCCAGCAGCTGGGCTTCCGAATCAGGGTGCACTCTGGGTAGGCTGGGAGATGTACTCGCAGAACCCTTTTCCCTCTGGCACCCGGTCACTTTATCAACAGGTGCCCACCAAGTCTCTCTGCGGACTTCTTAGCCACACACGGATGGCAAGTCAGGGGACCTCTGGAAAGAGTCGCGTTTTCTTGCTTTGGGTCTTACGCAAACTTTGGCCATAGTCTCTTTTTCTTGAGAGGCAATTTCAAATACACTGAAATCTGAAATACTCTTTAGTCCCAGTCCCAAAGCTAAACCTTGTCAGTTCTGGTCCAGTGTTTCATTCCACAGGCAAAACCATTCCAACTCATCTATATACCACAGTCAGTACAGACGAGCTCCTCTGGCTAGTAGCCACTGGCCACCAGTGTCCTCCCAAGCCTTAGGTCCTGGCTGGATTAGCTACATTGTAAGAAAGCCTCTAATATTTTGGAATCAGACACTCTCAAATGGCAATCCTTGGGTTGTGGTTCCCCTTCTAATGGAGCTCTGATAAATTAGTAATAACCGTCTGCCTGAAAAAGAATAAAAACACTTACCTTCACCATTAAACCAGTGTTTGAAGCCCTGGACTAGATGGCCAATTTGGAAAAAGAGGGCATTCCTGTCCCTTCTTCCCTTCATGGGGGTACATAATCAGCCACACTGCAGTAGGACACCGCCAGATTTGGCCCTGCGCTCTCAGGGCAGGGCATCTGCCTTCGTCTGAGCCGCTTAATTTTTAACTTTACTTTTAAAGTTATCACCGATTGAGTATCTCAAAGATGTCACTATGTTTTTTGCTTTGAACTGTGCACACAACCACTCAGTCAACAGGCCATTTTCCTGAAAGCCAACGTAGCCTGGCACGGAAGCCAGAGGTTGATGAGGCTGTGCTGTTGATGAGGCTGTGCCCACCTCACGCCTAGAGTTTTCTGTAACCTCAGACGAAGCACACCGTCTGTTAGAACTGACTTCTGCATTAAGAAACAAGTGTTAAAATGCCCAGTGTATGGGGGCATGGGAAAAATGAGATGAAATCTGTTGCTCACAAGGCAGTCAGCTTTAGGAGATGTTCTTGCCAGGGCTCTTCCTCCAGGTCAGGTGCCCACTGTGAACCAGTGTGAGTCACCCTGTGCCAGCCATTCTGCCATTTTCTCTATCCTTCCAGGTGTGCATTTTGCTTGATTCCTGACACTTGGGTCTATGTTTTGTGGTTCTTGTCTTGTTTTGTTTTGTTTTGTTTTGTTTTGTTGATTAAGTGACTGGTACTAGATCCTCCTAGTCTGCCTCTTAACCCTACTAAAATGAGGTGGGGGTCCCTTCCTCTCTGCCTCTATCAGAACCTCTCTTCTGGGTTTCTTTTCTCATCATCATCCCCAAAGGGGCCCACTATCCAGCCTCTTAGTCAGTCGGTCTGGTCTCTGTATTCATTTTATTTTTGCTTATGTGTCTGTATGTTTGTGAGAATGTATGCCACATGTGTGAAGGTGCCCAAGGCGGCCAGAAGAAGGCATCAGATCCCTGGAGCTGGAGTTACAGGCAGCTGTGAGTGGCTCCATGGGGGTGCTGGGAACTGAAATTAGGTCTCTGGAAGAGCACTCCTGCTCTTAAGACCCTGAACCATCTCTCCAGCCCCCATAATTTGCATTGGTACTCTATTAGGTACTACAAACTAGGGGACTTCAAAGACACATACACTTGTTTTCACAGTCCTGGAGGTCACAGTCCAAAGTGGGCTGTGCTCCCTCCAGAGGCTTGCTGTGGTAGTTTACAGCAGTGTGAATGGCATAAGTGTGTACTTGGGGCTGGAGAGCTGGTTCAGTGGTTAAGAGCATTGGCTGCTCTTGCAGAGGACCCAGGTTTGGTTCCCAGCACCCATGTGGTGGCTAACAACCATCCTAACTCCAGTTCTAGGCAATTTGATGCCCTCTTCTGACCTCCAAGGGCATTGTACAAAGACATGGTTATGCTCACATACATGCAGGCAATACACTCATACAAATAAAATAAAAATAATAAATAATTTTTTTAAAAAAGACAGTATATGCTCAACAAAAGATAGCTTATTTGACAAATGAGTTTTTGTGTTATACTCTCAATGAAAAAATAAAGATTTCTGGAGCTAACCCAAACTCTTCACCCTTACTGTGATTCTCATGTAACAAAGCCTTGATAAATCAACTCAATTTTAGAGTTAAATAATTTAGATATTGGGAGGCTGAGGCAGGAGGATCAGGAGTTCAAGGCTAGAATATAGCAAAGCTCGAGACTCGATGGCAGAGTGCTCACTTATCAGGCATGAGGCCCTGGGTTCTTCCTGGGGGGAGGATTCAATATCTTACATCTATATCATTCATAAACACCAAGAGTTGGTAAGTCCTTAAAAACATAGTCCCTCTGGCTTGATATTAAGAGCAGTTCCCAATTAAAGTGGTGTAATTGCACACTTTTTATTTAAAAAACTGCTGTGTTTCAGACATGGTGCTTAACTTCTGAAAATGTCACTTTGTTTAATGCCTACAGAGTTCAAAGTCCACTGAGAGAGGCTGTACACAGAGACAGACTCCTAGGACGAACGGAGGTGAACGAAAGTCACACAAGCTTGCGTAAGTATCCAGAGAGAGCAAACAAGGACCCTGGCTACACCGGTGTCAGGAAAGGCGTCTAGGAGGAGGTGGGGCTCTGCACTGTGAGACGAAGCATCACAGAGGAAGGATGGTCCGGAAAGCGGAGCCACCGAAGAACTGTTCACCGTGGTGGAGGATGAACCCTTTGGCGGACTGACTTGAAATATGGTAATTCATTGTTAAAATTCAATTGCTTTCCCCAATAGTAGAACCAGATTTTCTGAAGGAAAAATAGGAAAATGTTGTAACGTTCCCTGCAACAAAAACTAAAACTTTCCAGAATTATGTGAGCAATAAAAGTGTGATACGAAAAGAAAAGCAATAAATATTTATTAAAGAACATAAAATAAAAATCCACCCACATGGAACCAATTACTGTATTCTTCGATGGGGAAGTTTAATATCACAAACCACCAACCCTCCTCAACTTAATAATTGACATCTGGTACCCACTGAATTGAAAGAGGCCCAGCCATCCCCAGTAGACACAGTGACATGCAGTTGAGAGAAGGTGAGGGCCTCACTCCGGGAAGGTAGAGATGGTCACAGAGGACAAGCCACATCTATCATTTGACTTGGATGCTTGTTCGTTCGTTTGCTTGTTTGTTTTTCAACAAAAACTTTATTGAGAATTTCATACGTGCATATAAGGTGTTTTGATCAACACGTCCAAAACCTCACATATCTCCCCATTACTTTTTTTCTTTTTCTTTTCTTTTTCCTTCTTTCATTTATTTTTTCCCAGATAATTATTTATTTAATAACCACATACTTAGAGGAAGCATTTCATTACAACAGCATTGACATATTCAATAACAATTTTCTGAGCTAGGATACATCTCTCACAAAATCGGCTGTACATTTTTAGGTTTACAGTTGAATTATTAAAGTTATACAATATTGTACTCAGTATAAACCCTATAAGACATAAAATTAAATGAGGTT